TGCTGTTGGCACCACTGCTAATTTGCTGTCATGCCATTATGGGGGGAGTCATTCATCTGATATAAGCATTTGTACTCCCCTTTGCAGATTTGCTGAAGGCGCAGTCCCCAATCATCTGCATTCAAAGGATATTTTAAACTTAAAGCACTAGTGGAGCATTGAAACAGATAGTAGAGCCAGCTTGGTCTAGTGGCTAAGGCAGGGGTCCCCAAACTTGGCAACTTGAAGACTTGTGGACAGAGCTGGCTGGAGAATTCTGGGAGTTGAAATCCACAAGTCTTCAAGTTGCCAAGTTTGGGGACCTGCCGTAGGTAGAAAAGGAGCAGCCGAGTCTACAGTCCAGTTAGGAGGACTTTTCGGGTTATGCCTGAGCCTCCTGGAGTGGTGGGGGCTCCATCATGGGAGGCTTTCAAAGAAGCCTGGGAGGTCATTGGTCTGGAATGATTCAGGGATTTATGACATTCCAGCTTCCAAAACCAGAAACATTTCCCATCCTATCACAACGCAGAGTTCCCTTTAGCCAGTTAAAATCAAAAAGCTTGCATCTATTTGGTAAAGTCTCACCTTTTTTTTTATTTCGATGAATCTTGGTTGCATGCTTGCTTTCGCCCTGCACAAAATGGCCACTTTTTATGCTTTTTATATGCTTTCTTATGTGACCGGCTGATCCTGAGGAGGGAATCAGAAATGTTCCTCCAGGCCGTTTCATAAAGCACAAAAAAAAAGTGCCGGCCTCAGCCATTGTGGGGGGGGGGGGGGGGGGGGGGAGCAGCTTTGGCAACCATCTTCCTTTCAATGGAAGGAAATAAGAGCGAGGTGAAGGTTTTGCTGAAGAAAGCCTGGCCAGAAGACTCGAGCCAAGCAGGAAAAGAGCAAAGAAAGAAAGCAGGACACCCCAGGCCTCTTTTGCCAAGTCCGCCCCCTGTCCCTTCCAGCCTTCCCAAGCCACATACGAGAGGAAGGAAGTTTGCAGTTTTTCCATGAATAGATCATGCTACAATGTCAGAAGGCAGGAAAGGCCACAGGAAGAACGCTGAAAAGCCACTCCGCTTCAGCCAGGTTTTCAAGTTACACAATGAAGCGAAGGGTTACTTCGGATCCAGAGAAAGGAACCCAGAACAGAAGGATGGCTTTGAAAGCCATCAGAGTCAAAGAAGGCCCCACAGGGGTTTTGTGGCTGGTGCCCCTGTCCTCCAGAGGAATGCCGCCCGGGAGGCAAACACCTCGGGCCAAGAGGGGCGGGGCTGAACAAAGGCACCCCAAAGGGGACACGGCCCCACAGATTCAACTTCTCCAGCGTTTTCCAGAGGGGCAAATGTTTTTTTGCAGCCACATCGGCCGACTCTTGCAGCACCTTAAAGACAAATGGATGAACCGTTGCGTAAATGTGCGGGGGGGGGGGGTGTTTCTGAGTCCCACAAGTAGAGTCCAGCTGAGCAGTGGGGAAAGTGGAAAGGATGGGAGGCAACCAAAGTCCTCTATAAGGTCCGGCATAAAGCAACAGGGCAGGTATTTGTGCACTGGGAGAAACTGGGAGGACTAAGAAACTTCACCCCGTTTCACCCAAGAGAATCTACAAAATCCTCCAATACAGGTAGCCCTCAACTTATGACTTCGCGACCATGAAACGTTACCACAGACCTCTCCAGGGCTACTAATGACCTGGGTTCAATGTTCAGGTGACCACCTTTTCCCATGCAATGATCACACTGCGGGCACTTGGAAACCAGACAGCTGTTTATCATACTCAGTGGTCACTCAACCCCATTTCTTTGTTCCTAATGGACCACATCTGTCTGTACGTAACTTGTCTCAGTTGCAAAACACACAGCCTTTAAATACAGAGCTGCAAAATCTCCTAACCCGTTGGGTACAGTGAGGCAAATGGTGCTTGGCCATCCGCATGTATTAACCACAGGTGCATACACCTGGAATCCTGTGATCACAACAGGTGGCCTTCCCGATTGTCTTCCAACAAGTAAAGCCAATGGAGGGAGCCAAATTCGCCTAATAACTGATTTGTGTAACAACAGCAGTGATTCATCTAACCACCATGGCAAAAATATTATAAAATCGGGTGTGACTGAACAACCATCTTGTCCCAAGTGTGGTTGTAAGTCAAGGCCTAAAGTGGCCCTTCAGTCCGTGTCTTACGCTGTAGCCAACAGCAAGAAAACAACTGGCTTCCAGGGTTTGCGTAGGATGGCTTTTCTGTTAAAAACCTCCAGATTCACAACCCAAAGTCCAAGAACCCCTTCAAAATAAAGGAATGGTAGTAGACATTCAGAGAAATAAGGACTAGAATGCCTTTGAGTTCCAAATTGGCCAAATCATGGTTTTGGATAAAAACTGCATAAAAATAAATCAATAGTTGAATAAAATCACCATTCACTTTTTTGTTAATTTCAGCGGTCTAATAAGATAGCAGTGAATTGCTAATATTATTAAAAAGGGGAGAAACTCCTGCTAATCCACCACAAACCAGCCCAAGATTTATCCCTGGATCGGTCTTCTGCTCCACTATCTAGGCATCAGCAACCACAAATAGGGTATTGCCACAAATGTTAGAGCACCTGAATTGCTCAAGTGGCTGTTAGGGAAATGCATGGAAGGCAGGGTCAAAGAACTGCTTTTAGCCACAAAGGCAAAAGGCAACCCATTTAGGACAGAAAGTAGGGAGCAATTCTTTTTGTGTGCCAATCTCAGGAGGAGGAGGAGGTTCAGTGGAGTCCGGTTCTTGGTGATTTATGGGCCTGGTCTCTCCCCACTTTCCAATCTTGCACTCTTCCAAGCTCAGGAACTTCCTCCTCCAGCCACTGCTGGAGACTTCCACTGAATCCAGCCAGGCGATTCTCATTGAATCACAGCATTGGAAGAGTCCATCCTCCTCCACACTCACGTTCCCACCCGCAGCGCTGGCCCGGCGGAGGGACGGACGGAGCCGGGCGGAAGGGCCCCGTGGCTCCCCTTCGCTCCCGGCCAGGCTCTCCCCGCAACGCCCAGCCGTGGCCCAGAAGGCAGGGGCGTCCTGGTCCAGGCGAGGCGATGCATCCCAGCGGAAGGCGGCGCTGCCCCTCCCCGCCCCCGCCTCACCTGGCCGGGGCTTGAGCGCGCGGGGGTGGGGGTGGAGGTGGAGTGTGTGTGGGGAGGGCCCTTCCTGCCCCCAGGTGCGCCTTTCCTCAGGAGGATCCCCGGCGGCCCCTCCTCCCGCCGCGCCCGCCCTCCCGCGGGGCCAGCCAGCGCGCTCGACCCGCCACTCCGCGGCCTCCCGCGGATGCAAAGCCCAGCCCCGCAAGCCCCGCTTCCTCCCGGGCCTTCTTACCGCGGGCCTCCCGCTCGGCTCCTCCCGGGCTCCGGCGCCGCTGCTCCCCCGGAAGACACGCGAGGGGCGCCTTCTCCGGTTTCCGCCGCCCCGGTTTCAATGAGGCTTCCCGACGTACCTTGCGAGGCCAGGTGTGCCGCAAAGGCCTTCGGGAAATGAAGTTTCCCGCTATTCCGCCAGGGGCTCTCCAAGGCGGCCTTTGCCGGGCCAGAGTTGGGGGGTCTTCTCGGTCCGCGACGCCTTTCTTTTGCGCACCCCTCACGCTACAAGTCCGGGCTGGGAGCCGGATGGCCGCGCAAGATGCCCCCGGTTCAGCCAGGCCCTTTGGCAAACTTGAGCCCCCGGCGGCTCTGCGGGCCTTCCTGCCCCCCTCGGATCGCTTGCAGGCGGTTTCCTTCCTTCCGTGGCCTTTTCTGAGATGGAAGTCTCGTCTGTTGTGTCTTTGAAAAGAGCGTTCCCTCAGTGCTTTTAGTCTGGATTTTTTTTTTAAAGATTCCACGGTGTTCTAAGTTATTTTTCATTCACTTGAGGACTTGTTTGAACCACCGTGCAAACCGGTTTACAGAGACACCTTTAACTACCACCCTTTTACAAAGGCATCCTGTCAAATGAAGGCATTTTGCCAGCTGTAAAATGTGGCAGTAAAAATGCTTAATATAAGCAGAGCCACTTTTTCCAGCAACCACCGAAATCTTTCTCATCTACTGCACTGAAAATTCTGCATGTTTTGCTTTTATTCCAAGCACATCCCAATCCCTGCAAGACGACTTGGCCACACATGAAAACAGATGGAAAGGCCTGGTGGCATGTAGTGGCTGCCACTGGGCGTATTTGGCCCCTTTTGACTAACAGCGTTCTTATACAAGTCTTTTCCTAATCCCACAAAGCTTTCATATGCCAACACCCCAAACTGTCTCAGCAGCCCAGCTATTTCCTCCAAAATCATTTTCTTTTGGCTAATGTACCGTATCTTAATGGGAAACCTATTTTCAGTCACTGAAGCTCAATACTCAATTAAAACAATTGTCAAAGGGAAATTCTACTCCCCCTATTTTTGAAAATGATAGTTGAAGTTTTATTCACCCTCCAAATAAGGCATGAAATTGAACGAAGATGATTACAACACTGCAATTTTGAGAAGAAGTAACTTTTGTGGGAACACTGAACTATTGAAGCAATTTGATCAATTGCATAAGAAATAAAACCAGATGTTGCTAAAAAGATTTCACAACAATTTATCTGCTATGAAGAAAATAAATCAACTGTAGTTCATATATAAAATAACAGTGGCAGCCATCAGTAGACTTGGAAAACAACTTGTATAGGTTGCGCATACTTCCTATAAAGATTGTCCCACCATACAAAAAAGAGAAGTTAAAAATTCTGTGCAGACATATGTACTTTCTCAATATATCAAACTGTTGTGTCAATACTTAAAACTGCAATCATTAGAGAAAAGCAAAGAGAATAATCTGAATATTGCTACAGTCCCTCAGTAATTGGACATGATTTTTCCTAGACATTTTAAGGGTCGACTATCTTGGTCAGTCCTTAAAACAATTCCTGGAAGACCCCTTCAGGGTCCCTTCCAGCTCTATTCTATCCTAAATATGTTCTAATGGTATAAACTTTGTACTATGTGGTGAAATTTAGAAAAAATACACCCAAAAAGGAAATATTTCTACTCACACGTAAACATTTATTTGAAAGCTTACATTCATATCTTGAAATGTATGTTCTGTGCTTGCTTGTGGATTATGTGAAGCACCTAAAGTACCACGGAAGCAAACTGGGTGGCTTTGAAAACCTGACATCAGGGAACTTCTGCCTATGTTAAAAGGCCAAAATATGAATATGTACACTGTGAAAATAACAGAAACTGTTTTAGCAATACAGTAGTTCAGATGAGAGAGCAACAGACAAATCAGCGCTAGGTGAACGGTCATCTCTACAGTACAGAGCCTGATTCCGCTTGCTTCCAATGTTCTCCCTGTGCTCTGCTGCTTGCACAGTTACGAAGGTGGTAGTGCAGGATCTATGTTAAATGCAGGCGCAGAGGAACAGTCGGAGAAGTGGTGTTTTTTATCCCCCGTTCTATGCATTACACGCTGCTCAGAGCATCGACGCCTGGAAGAAGTTTACCTGCACATGATTGAAAAGACACAAACCATGAGTAACTGACTTCAGCACAGCTCATTGCATCAGAGTCAAAGGTCCCCCCGTCAACCCCTCACCTCCCAGGGGCCTTTGCTTTCTCTTGCTGAAGAGTTTAGAACTCTGAAGGAATGGGGGCCATTACAGAAAGGATTTAAGGATTTCTGCACAACGAAAACAAAGTGAATTCCAATGATAGGTTTTCAATCATATGTGTTATATTACCCAGGATTAGAAGACACATTGACTCAAGAATTTGAATTAGCCGCTCCAACTGATAATGTCTGCATGGAGAAGTATGTTCTCTTCGTGCTTGTGGAGCAGAAGGAGCAACACAGAGGCAGCCCAGGTATTCATTTCAATGGTCCTCTGGTTTTGGTTTGACTTGCCCACTGTCTAGTATGTGCTGTGTAGCAACACACAGGGAAGGGGGGGCTTTCAACAGGGAAAAGACCACCCATCACTGAAGTAGAAGTTCATCAAGGGCACCAGGTGAGATATTAATCACAAATTTTTAACCCAAATTAGATGCTGCACCAAATGTTCTTTAAAATAACAAAAATGGAGAGAAATCTGTTATCTGTTCTAAAAAAGTCACACCCTAATTCTCATATTCTTTAATAATGTATTTTAGGGAATTTAGCTAAGCATGAGTTACATCCCGAGGAAATTTCACCACCAATGTTTAGAACCACCGAGGAAAACCTACATTTTGAATGCTAACCGTGTAAACTAAAGAGGGCATTTCACTTTCATAGGCTCTCTCTACAAGTGCACATTCTTTCCCCTTCACTGTTAATTCCTAGGCAACAGAGACAAAGAACCTGTCCAGCATGGCATTTCTGGTAGTAACAGTTGCAGAAGACTTTAGTTTGGCTTATTTTTCAGACAGTAAGTAAAGGCAACAGAAAGACAAAACGTGTATGTATTGGGAAACAGCTTAATTACTAGAGGAAATAAAATCATTCACAGAACAATGCAGTCCACAAAGACACAACTATAAATTTCCCCCCCAAGACGTGACAGCATTAGACTTTGCCAACAAACTAGGAATCCAGTAGCACCTTAAAAGTATCTTTAACTGTCATAAATTTTCATGGATACAATTTATCAGATGCAAATGTACTACTACACCAATGAAAACTCGCTACATAATAAATCTGTTCACTTTTAAGGTTCTAAAAGGATATTTTTTGTTATAAATTCTTTTCACTTTAAAATGTAAGTTTTGGATGATACACAAGAATTTCACAGGTAATCTAGGCTCACATGTTTTTGTTCTGACCCAATACTTGGCAAGGAGTCTCCGAGAGTCACGAACAAATCTTCACACTAACTAAATGAACTAATTGTCTCCTGCAAACACCACTCCCCTTTTGCTCCTCTTTATTCCCTATGGGAGGGGCCATTCACTGTCCACCTGTGCCTTTACTTCTGAGTTGACCCTTGTTCCTTAACTGTTCTCTTCTCCTGGCAGCTCTGCGCATGTGCACATCAGGAACAGGCTCCAGCTGTTCTTCTGCCCCACTGATCTCCGACTCCGAAAGCAGCTGATAACTGTTGGACAGCCCTGGCCCCATCTCTGCCCCCGATGCACAGCACTCATCAGAGCCTTCCCCAGACTCCAGGACTGGCCCATATTCCTCCCCAACCTCACTGTCCAAGTCTTCCACCAGCTCTGCTGGTAGGCCACAACAGTTTTAGACTGGGATGAATTAATGGACCCAGTGAAAAAAGTTCTGCATACTTTTAAGAAGCCAGTTTTATCATCCTGCTTAGGCAAAGTACACATGCCTAAATTAAGGAATTTAGAAAATCAATAGCTTAATATTTTCTGCACAAAGTTGTTGTGGCTATATTCTCTTCCTATTAACTGTCTAGACCACACGAGCACTAGCAGCCTTCAGACCCTTCATGGATCACTGCCTTGTCATGGTGAAGGGGCTTGCACAGCTCAAAGCTATGAGCTAAGCCATGCAGGGTCACCCAAGACGGACAGATGACAGTAGAGTTCTGACAAAATGAGGCCCCCACTGAAGAAGGAAAGGGTAGCCCACTCCAGTATCCAAGAAAACCCCACTGACAGTACCAAAAGCTAAAAGATACGATGCCAAAAGATGAGCCCTCAGTTCGGAAGGTGCCCGAAATGCTACTGGGGAAGAGTGGAGGGCAATTACAAGTAGATCCAGAAAGAGTGAAGTGGCTGGGCCAAAACCAAAAAGATGCTCAGTTGTGGATGTGATTGGTGGGGAAAGGAAAGTCTGATGCCATAAAGAACAATATTGCATAGGAACCTGGAATGTAAGATCTACGAATCAAGGTAAGCTGGATGTGGTCAAACATAAGATGGCAAGTTGAACATCAACATCTTGGGAATCAGGGAATTAAGGTGGATGGGAATGGGTGAATTTAATTCAGGTGGCCATTATACCTACTACTGAGGGCAAGAACCCCTCAGAAGAAATGGAATAGCCCTCATTGTCAATAAAAGAGTGGGGAAAGCAGTACTGGGGTAAAATCACAAAAACGACAGAACAATCTCAGTTTCAAGTCCAGGTGAACCACCGATGCTGAAGAGGCTGATTCCGACTGATACTATGAAGACCTACAACATCTTGTAGAACTAATCCCCCCAAAAAGATGTCCTTTGGAATGCTGAAGTAGGAAATCAAGAGGCAACTAGGAATTACAGGCATGTTTGGAGTACAAAATGAAGCAGGGCAAAGGCTAACAGAATCTGGCCAAGAGAACATGCCAATCACAGCAAACATTCTTTTCCAACCACCCAAAAGGCAACTCCACCCATGGACATCACCAGATGATCAGTACCAAAATCAGGTTACATACTTTGCAGCCAAAGATGGAGAATCTCTGTACAGTCAATAAAAAGACCTGGAGGTAACTGTGGCTCAGATCATGAGCTTCTTACTGCAAAATCCAGGCTTAAATTGAAGAAAGTAGGGAAAATAACTAGGCTGCTTGGGCTCAGGTGTGGCCTAAATCATATCCCTTATGAATATACAAAGGAGATTTAAGGGATTCGATTTGGTAGACAGAGTGCCTGAAGAAGTAGGGACGAAGGTTCAAAACACTCTATAGGGGGCAGCAACTAAAACCATCCCAAAGAAAAAGAAATGCAAAAAAGCGAAGTGGCTGATGAGGCCTTATAAGTGGCTGAGGAAAGAAGGAAAGCGAAAGACGAGAGAGAAAGGGAAAGATATACACAACAATAAACATTTCAGAGAAAGCCAGGAGAAGTAAGAAGGCCTTCTTAAATGCAAAGAAATAAGAGGAAAACACTAGAATGGGAAATACTAGAGCAAGAAAATTGGAGCTATCAAGGGAATGTTTCATGCAAAGTTGAAACCATCTTTAGAGACCTAACAGAAACAGAAGAGATTAAGAGGTGGCGGCAAGAATCCACAGAACTATACGGTCTCTGATAACCATGAGGATGGAATCGCTGACCTTGAGCCAAGCGTTCTGGAGTGGGAAATCAAACTGGCCTTAAGAAGTATTACCAACAACAAATCTAGCAGAGATGACAGCATTCCAGCTAAGCTATTTAAAATCCTAAAAGATGGTGCTGCTAAAGTGCTGGATTCAGCATGCCAGCAAATTTGGAAAACTCAACAAGCCACAGGACTGGAAAAAGGTCAGTTCACGTTCCAATCCCAAGGAAGGGCAATGCCAAAGAATGTTCCAACTACCAAACAATTGTGCTCATTTCACACACCAGCAAGGTCACGCTCAAAATCCTACCAGCTAGGCTTCAGCAGCAACAGATTTTGTTTCCTTGGCCTCCAAGATCACTGCAGACGATGACTGCATCCATTAAAAGATGCTTGCTCCTTGGGAGGAGAGCTATGGCAAGCCTAATGGCCTATTAAAAGGCAGGGACATCACCTTGGTGACAAAGGTCCGTACAGTCCAAGCTATGGTTTTCCCAGTAGTAATGCATGGCTGTGAGAACTGGACCATAAAGAAGGCTGAGCACCCAAAAACTGATGCTTCTGAAGTGTGGTAATTGTGGTGGTGGAGAAGGTTCTGGAGAGTCCCTTGGATTGCAAACAGACCAGATCAGTCATTCCTAAAGGATGTTAACCCTGACTGTCCTTTGGAGGACAGATACTGAATCTGAAGCTCATATACTCTGGCCACCAAATGAGAAGGGAGGACTCGTTGGGAAAGACCCTGATGTTGGAAAAGACAGAAGGCGAAAGGAGGAGGGGACGGCAGAGGGTGAGATGGTTAAGACAGTGTTATTGAGCATGAGTCTGAGCAAACTCCCGGAGACAGTGGAGGATAGCTGGTATGCTATGGTCCAAGAGGTTGCAAAGAGTCAGACACAGCTTAGCAACTGAACAACAAAAAAGCCTTTGGTAGGGGCAGTGCTGAAAGAAGCTAACCAAAAAAACCACACTATTAACTCATCAGGGGTAATTTAAAAAGAAAAAAAAAAGAAACCCATTACCTTCTAGAAGTTCCAGACTGGCTCCACCTCCTGTACTAACGTGGCTAACTTTATCTTCCGTATTCCATTTAGCACAGCAGGTAGCAGTGTCTCCTCCACCTGTAAAATAGTTTGGACTGTTTGAGGACACACAACTGGGCTAACACCAAAACGGGCCATTTGTTGCAAAAACCATTTAAAATAAGGGTCAGAGCAACCCACTTCCAGCCAGAGGTTCTCTCCAGGTACCATTCCAGTCATTCTTTGCCGGTTGGATATGTTGCACAATCCAAATAAAGGGCAAAAAAGACAGACGGCACTGATATTACTGCATTGGCCAATGAAAGGCAACGCCCTCTGTTCCTTCCGTGAAAGACAAATTGATCCAAAAGGTAATAATCAAAATCTGACACCCGGAAGAACAATAGAAAGATTTGTACCGATAATGGTGATGCAGCCTTTGCTGGTAACTTCCACTACTTTATCCATCACGGCTTTGGTTCCTTTGGCAAACTTCTCCCACTCAAAGACACCAACTGGACCGTTCCACACAATTTGCTTGGCTCTGCCCACAGCTTCAACAAAGAGCTTAGTGCTTTCAGGGCCACAATCCAATCCCTAAGAGCAAGGGAGCAAATTAGACCATTCAGCTCCCCCGCCAGAAAGTGCAGAGAAAAAAGCAGCCTGGCCACGATTTCTTCCACTCACCATCCAGCCTGCAGGGATGCCAGAGGCCAGGGTAGCTTCCCCAGTGTTAGCGTTCTCATCAAATTTATCTGCAGTGATGAAGTCAACGGGCAAAGTGATCCGGACACCATTCTTCTCAGCTTTGGCCATCAGGTCTTTGACTATTTTTGATCCTTCTTCATCAAACAGAGAGTTGCCAATCTGGAAGAAAAAAAGATGGCACGTTCAGTATCTGATAAATGGTGGTGCAAGCTGCAATGAAATCGATGAGTGCCACAAAAAACCCTGGCAAAAAAGGTATTCTTAAAGAATGAAGGGAAGGACAAGGGGGGAAATATGATCAAAGCCTTTAAATATATTAAGGTTCTAGAAGGCAGTATTTTCAATATTAAGCAAAGATCAAGAACATTGGAGCATAACCTCAAACTGACAGGAGAGAAGTACAAAAGTAATGCTAGAAAGTAATATGTCACAGAAAGAGTAGTGGAAGATTGGAATAAACTTCTAATAGAGCTGATGAGACAATCATCAGTATCATGAATTTAAACATGCTTGGGATAAACACATATCCATCACCCAACAAAATAAATAAATAAATAAAACAAAACTCAAAAGGCAGATTTGATGGACCACTAGGTCTTTTTCTGCCATTCAATGTCTATGAAGATTCTATTATCCAGGTCATAGTTGTGTCAAAAGTGTTTTTTTATTTTATTTTGAATAGGCAACTGGACTGGTTTTTGAGGAAAAACAAGATTTTTCTCTTCCTATCCTGGAAGCTTCAACAGTTACACTAGATGCTGTGGGAGATGGAAGGACAGTTCCTGACAGTTGAGATTAGTAGTTTCTGACAGGATGCTGGGGTGGAGGGTGAAATGGAAAAGGAAAATTGTCTCTCTTTGTAGATTTTGGGGAGTCCATATATTTGATAAGAAAACAGTCATCAACTTCCTGCCAAAACTACTTGAGGACAATGCAACTGACAAGCCACAATACTTTCGCTTTTACCCTGGGGAAGCCACTCATGCATATATATGAATTCCCCCAAATCCACAAAGAGGGAAGTCAGACCAATTGTCAGCACCAATTGTCAACTCTTGTCACCTACAACACTGCAAAACATCTAACCATCTTATTAGCTCCTTTTGGTTGGGAACACCATCCATCACATCAACAATTCACAGGACTTTGCCAGCAAGGTTTGGAAACTAAACTGGATCCAGATGAAACTATGGTTCCTTATGGTGTGACCTCTTCTGAACAACTGAAGCTGTCACGGCAATGAAGAAATGTCTGCTACAAGACAGCACATTAGGTAACAGAACTAACCTCAGCCCTGACCACAGATGTGCCATGTTGGGCCTCTGACTGACCACTACCTATTTTAAATACAATGAAGGTTTCTACAAACAAAAACACCAGTTGTGCCATGGGTTCACCTGTGTCCCCCATTGTGACAAATCTTTACGTGGAAGAAGTAGAAACCTAAACCCCTTCCCAGGAATTTCACCAACTCACTGGTACAGGTATGTGGATGATACTTGGGTCAAGATTAAAACACAGGAAGTGGAAACACATCAAGTCTGTGGAAAGACACCATCCAGAAGATATCAAGGAAAACTGCTGGCTTTCCTGGACTGTGCTGTGCACATTAAGGAAGACTATTAATGTCAAAGTTTACAAAAAAAATAACCTACACTGGATCAGTATTTGCACTTTAATTCTCACTACCCACTAGAACACCAATTGGGAGTGATCAGAACCTCATGCCATTGGGCTCAAAGTTTGCCTACCAGTAAAGAGGGAAAAGAAAAAGAATTAAAACACAACAAGGAACTCCTCAGAACCTGTTGCTATCCCAACCAGGCCTTCATCAAATCCAAAATAAGACCCAGCATGAGCCCCTCTACTACAGACAAGGAAAATAGCAACAAATGAAGCAACACTGTTATTCCATATGTTGCTGGAATATTTGAAAAACTCAGAAAGATTTTCAACCAACATCACAAACGTCTACATTTAAAGCCCACGAATGCATTAAGGCAGAAACTTGCCCACCCGAAGGATAAAAATTGTTTATGATGCGTGTACAATGCAGTGAGACGTGTGCAGATCTGTACACTGGTGGAGCAAAGAAACCACTTCAGAAGCACATGGCACAACACAGGAGATTTAACCCATCAGAACAAGATTCAGTGGTCCATCTGCATTTGAAAGACAAGAGTCCCTCTTCTGAAGAGAGTCCAAAGTCCAAATTTTGAATACAGAAGCCCATTTATGTTAACCCCGAATAGCCCTCTCTCAACAGAAGAGGATGGATAAGACACCACCTACCCCTATTTACAATGCAGTCCTTTGGGCTGTTCCAAGATTCCACACCTCTGATTCAGGTGACCCTGAATCACAGATAAAACCCCAAGTAACCACAATGGATTTCAGACAGTGCTAAGACCAGTTAACTGCAACCCCACCCCAAAAAAAACTTTTCTTTTCCACACACACACCCAAATTCAGTCCCACCAACTTATCTCAACTGTCAATAACTGTCCTTCCATCTCCTACAGCATCCGATACAACTGATGAAGCTTCCAGAATAGGAAATGAAACGTTTTTCCTCAAAAATCAGTCAAGTTGCCGTTTCAAAATAAAAACCATTTTTGATACATTTTCTGCCATCAGTTTTCTATGTTTCTATGAAGTGACTGATGGCAAATGGGAAGTAAGAGGCTGAAGAAAAATCATTTCCAGCGTGACTTCTGAAAGTTCAGATCTAAATTAGGAGTGTTACAGTAGTTTGATCAAAGAAGCGATATTAGTCAAATATGAACTTACTTGAAAATTGTCTTGTTTAAGTATATGGCCAACAACTTACTAAATATGTAACACTGATTAATACATAGAATTGTTCCTACATATTTACTTTTCTCAACTAAAGACAACATTATAGCATACAGAGCCACTTGTCTGAGATGGACACCTGCAGAAATTAAACAAATAAATACCTCCATATTGTTGAGTACTTTGAGGAAGGTGAAGGCCATTCCACCACCAATAATCATCTCATTGACTTTATCCAGCATGTTATTGATTAGCTGAATCTTATCCTGAACCTTAGCTCTAACAAGCAGGGAGAAAAAGAGATCCAAGTTGTTAAATGTTTCTGTGGAATATTTGAAATAAAAATGCTTGACAAGAAAACAGCCAATCAGACTGTAGAAACAGTATGAAAATCACAATTTCAGGTTTTATTGTTAAATGGGAGAAACATGTAAAACTCATTTACTTTTATTTATACAAAGCTTAAAATGGAGAGAAAGGCATTACACAGACACACATCACATCCATAGATGTGTCTCCACCTGGCTCTCTTCAAGTCAAAAGAGTTGAAGCTCTAAATTGATTTGACACATTCGTTCTCCACTCTGGTTAGAAAAATCAAAACATTATCTATTATCAATATAAATAATTTATAATTATCCAAAATGTATTGAGGTAGACAGACCCTAACCCTGTTGTTCCAAACCCTTTTACAGAATGGGCTGTTACTGTGTTCTTTGGATGAAGACATGTATTAAAAGTTGGACTTTTAAAAAAGAAAAAAATCCAAAAGAGGAAGACTCCAACATCTCCTCTCCAAAAGATGTTAGCTGTGCTGGGCTGCCCCCTCCTGTCCAAATGTCTCACTCTGGTAATCAGCAGCTGAAGCTGCTCGTGGTTCTTCAGCTGTAAGGGCCAAATCTGGACGAAGCAGATCTCCAAACCCTCCCTCTCTCTCTCACACAAGTAAGCTGCCTATAATAAAATGATTCTGGAAATAAAGCGATTCTGGAAATCTACTCCAGATCGCCAGAATTATGGATTTGTATTTCTCCAAAGTAAAATATAACCAGGAAATCATGTTGTTTCCTAATAGCAATGCTTAATATCTCTGTGGGCAAAAAGCAATAAATACAATGGTTTAAGCACAATCACAATCACTTTATACTGTAGTACATTTGATTTCTAACTACTGCGAGTTCTTTTATTTCCTCTTAATTATATTTTATTGTCTACATGTAGGCTTGTATTTTCTTTAAAGTTATTATGATCACCAATTAATAACTATTTAATTATTACTGGTGTAATACTCTATTTTGGTTTGAGTTCCACAGCTGCTGTTTTGTACACCATGGGATGCCGAAGGAGATGATCGTGGCAATGGACTCTGCGGATGGACGGGATGTGCAGACAACCAGACCCAAGTGGCCAAATAGGCAAAATGGTGGCTCGCTCCAAAACCAGCAGATTGTTTAGGATGCCCTTTATCTAGCAAATGCCAGCACAAGATCTTTCCAGGAGGAATGGGACAACTTGCCTCAGGCAACTCTCTCTGGCAAACTCGCCACAGCCAACTCACCTTAAGACAATTTGTTGTGGAACAATTTGACAATTCTATGTAATCATTTAAAATAAATAATTATTTTAATTTTTGTTGTCCACATTTCATTCCGTCCCTCCTTTTGTATCCTTTCTTTAATGATTCTATCCCACCATTTCTTTGATACTACAGGCATGATATTCCGCTCTGAAAAAAAAATCGGGGCCGGCCAAAAGAGACCCCCCACCGCGCGCCCGCTGCTTTCCCTTGCCGGGGCCGGGCGGCGGCGTGTTGCACGGAGGCTGGTCTGTGGCTGGCCCAGCTCCCTTTTCCTGCCGCTCAGCGGCCTCCACTCGCACCGCCCGGGCTCCGCTCAGGTATCCGGCTGGGGCTGTCAGGAGTTGCTACCGCCGGCGCAGCTCCACGCGGCTCCAGTCCCGCGTTGCCTCGGGAAGGGAAAGGCAAAACCAGGAGCCGCTGCTGCCATTGCAAAGCACCGCCGCGGCTCTTCCTTTTTGCCTTTCCCTTCCTGAGGCAACGCGGGACTGGAGCCGCGCGGAGCCGTGCCAGCAACTCCTGACTCGGGGCCTCCAAGGGGAGGGGAAGGAGGAGAAGAAGGGGTGGGGGGAAAGAAGGGGGCGATTCCCAAAAAAATCGGAATTCCGATTTTAATCGGAAGAATATCATGCCTGATACTAGTGTAACTCTTGTCCCACAGTAAGTTGTCCTGTGGCAAGTTGTCATAGGCCCTTTCCAGATGGTACTAAGATTGCCCCCAATGCTGTCAGACAAGGATAGACAAGAGCACCACGGGTTATTTCTGCTAGAGGAGCCTGGGGCATGTTGACCTCCATCCCCATGTGCCCATCCAATCCCTGCATCTGTTGCTCAACTGATGCCTGAGACAGAAAAGACACTTGTGGATCTTCTCAGCCCTGGGAATAGAGACCCAAATGGTTCCTGCTCTTCAGCTGTTCCTTGAGCCAAAGTCTTAGGTGAAGTGAGAACCAAGCTGAGCCAGATTCTGCTCTTGGCTGTTGTTGTTTTTAAACCTTCTAGAGCAGGGGTGTCCAACCTTGGCAACTTTAAGACTTGTGGACTTCAACTCCCAGAATTCCTCAGCCAGCTTTGCTGGCTGAGGAATTCTGGGAGTTCAAGTCCACAAGTCTTAAAGTTGCCAAGGTTGGACACCCCTGAACTAAAGCATCAAACATCTTAGAGGTGAAACGGAGGCCATTTTTAAAATCTTATTTTAATTGCCTACCTCTGCAAAAGTTTTCACAGACTCGCATCTTTAAGAATCTGAGAGACCCAGGTGAGAAAGAATTCTAGCCACAGGCAACAACACAGGTGAGACCAGGAAGCGGAATGTACTGAGAGAGGCTTTGGGGCATGTGTGCTCCATGTATCCCCAGCCAGTCTCCCTCAAATAAAAGGACCTGCTAATCCAAGGAGCAAATGTTTCCCAGGGCAAAGGGAATGGACCCCCTACCCTTGATGGGGGTGGGCTTTTAGGGCAACTGAGAAGTCTTTCCACTGAGCTTGGCAGGCCCTTTGCCCAGCCCATTGCAAGCAACAAAAGACTGAATTTGCTACTTGCGGCCACAAAGGAAAGGCATCAAATGGGTGACGAGGACAAGGTTTTGCTGTCTCTGTAAAGGACAAGGCATAGAAATTTTAAAAAAAGGGTGAGGGGAGAAGATATTCACCACCAGTGACCCCCCACTGCTTGAACCTGCTATCAGTTATGGTTGGATTTGGGTAAAAAATTGAGGAAGGGCATGAAGCTTCCTAATCAATCGAATGTTCTTTATTCTACTTTGAACCAAATTGTAAGGAATAATATCAACCTTTAAACAATTGGGGCTGAAAGGGAAAGACTCACAATATTTCTAATACGCAAAGAGTCATTGCTGTATGAAGCAATTACTATAATAAGAGTGCCAGGACATGAAGACCCAGTTAAAATCCATGTATTGCATGCTTGATGTCTCCAGGGTCAGTTGAGGCTAGATAATTCCTTTCCCAGTAAATATATTTTGAAGAATTAATGAACATGCAACACTGGAGAAATGAGGTAAGAGGGGGAAAAAAACATGTCTCCTTCATTCCTTGGAAAAGGAATGGAATAAAAACAATCAAGCCATTGCAATGTTTAAAATGTGCACACACTGGTTTGAATTAGGAGCGAAGACAATACAAACAAGCCATGTTTATGGCTTGGTATTCTCAACGGTTTACTATAAAGTAGAGAAAGTAGATTTAAATGGATTGAAGACCTAAAACTCTGCATTTAAGCAAAATTATAGCTGTTGGTTGGGTTGGGTGGATTAGGAGAATAGTGAGTAAAGTTATGGAATGCTTTTAGAAAGCAGCAAAGAGATGTAGTGATAACAACGGGCATTTTATCTAGACTAGAGAGCTTAACTATGATTAAAACTATATACAAATGACTGTAGAATTCATGTGACCAAACATAGGAAGACAATGAGAGATAACTCATATCTTCTTCTGACTGGTTCCTAAGAGAGCTACTAAAGAACATACACACACACATACACCCCTCCTCAAAGGGCTAGGAGAAGACAGGAGTGATAGCATCATCAGCAAGTTGAGAAAAATGTCTTTAAAAACACAGTGAAGTAGAACCTAAGCCAACAGTCTGCCCCTCTCCTCCCCAATACTCTAAAAATCCTGAAAATTATTCCTAGGATTTGTCCTAATCAATAACACTAAAAGAATAGCAAAAGGAATGAAAAGAATGAAAAAGAGGAGAGAAAAGATTCCAACTGAAACAGGAGGATAAAAAGCTTAAACGTATCAGAAGATGAAACGCTTGTAAGAAAGCTAGAAATATGACCACAGGATCATCTTAGTTAGGAAAGAGCCAAGGCAGACGGAAAGCAAACTAAAACTCTGCATGAACTCCTGAAATGAAAGCCCAGATGCTGGTGGCTTGCAAAGTACTTATTCGGAATCGGTAGAGGAGTGATCAGGCTCCCCTGGAGAGTTAGCTTTGTTCTATCCCGATGCACAACTAATGTGGGATTCCATACCCATCATTTTGTATCTTGAAATTGCAGTTGTTTCAAGAAGACAGGTCATACTCCACATCAGGGGTCTCCAACCTTGGCAACTTTAAGACTCCTGGGCTTCAACTCCCAGAATTCCTTAGCCAGCTTTGGGAGTTGAAGTCCAGAAGTCTTAAAGTTGCGAAGGTTGGAGACCCCTGCTCCACATAACTATCCGCAGCACTCTGGATCTGCAGAAGATTCCACAGAATTTCCTCTGATGTATCTGTAGCATCTGTCATCTTTGTTGGTCAATGACTGACATCTGTTCATCCTAGCCAGATCTGAAACTAGGCAAACTCTTGTCTAACCATTGCCACCATACTATGAGAGGGAACTAGGAGTCCTAGTGGGCACCTACATATGAACCAGCCGTGAGCTGCAGCTGCCAAAAAAAGCCAATGGAGTCCTATGCATCCATCAACAGAGGGAGAGTATCAAGGTCATGTGAAGTGTCTGTACCGCTTTATAATGCCTTGGTAACACTAGGAACAATGTGTCCAGTTTTGGTCCTCACATACAAGAAAGATGGTGAGACTCTAGAAAGAGTGCAGGGAAGAGCAACCAAGATGATTAGGGAGCTGGAAGTTAAAGTATATGATGAGCAGTTGTAGGAACGGAGTCTGTCTCGTCTAAGGAAGAGAAGGACTAGGGGTGATATGATAGCAGCCATCCAGTACTTGAGGAACTGTCACACAGAAGAGGGGGCAACCTATTCCTCAAAGCCCCTGCGGGTATGGCAAGACATAATAATGGATAGAAACTTAACAAGGAGAGATCCA